CCCTCATGCCCAGGACCCTGGAGGGGCAGATCACCATGGAGAAGACCCCCAGCTACTTCGTCACCAAGGAGGCCCCGGCGCGCATCTCCTCCATGTCCAAGGGCACGAAGCTCATCGTGGTGGTGCGGGACCCCGTGACCAGAGCCATCTCGGACTACACCCAGACGCTCTCCAAGAAGCCCGACATCCCCACCTTTGAGAGCCTGACCTTCAAAAACAGGACTACGGGCCTGATCGACACCTCGTGGAGCGCCATCCAGATTGGCATCTACGCCAAGCACCTGGAGAACTGGCTCCTCTACTTCCCCATCGGGCAGATCCTCTTTGTGAGCGGGGAGAGGCTCATCAGCGACCCCGCGGGGGAGCTGGGACGGGTCCAGGACTTTCTGGGCCTCAAGAGGATCATCACCGACAAACACTTCTACTTCAACAAAACCAAGGGCTTCCCGTGCCTGAAGAAGGCAGAAGGCAGCAGCAAACCCCACTGCCTGGGCAAGACAAAAGGCAGGACCCACCCCGACATAGACCAGGAGGTGGTGCAGAGACTGCGGGACTTCTACCGGCCCTTCAACATGAAGTTCTACCAGATGACGGGACAGGACTTCGGCTGGGACTGAGGCTGAAACAAATAATTTAAGAAAAGGAAAATATAATATAATATATATTTTTTTTACATATCAGTAGAGAGGGGGGAAAAATACAAAAAAAAAAATACTAGTTGTGCTGAAACATGATTTGTTCTATTTTTTCTTTTGGCATTGCTTTGTTTTCTTTCTTCTCTCAGCCATGAGGTGATGTGTCCATCCACAAAAGGAGGCTGTGAGCAGCAGCCTGGTCCCGTTGATGTCTCCTGCATAATATATATTTTTTTTACATATCAGTAGAGAGGGGGGAAAAATACAAAAAAAAAAATACTAGTTGTGCTGAAACATGATTTGTTCTATTTTTTCTTTTGGCATTGCTTTGTTTTCTTTCTTCTCTCAGCCATGAGGTGATGTGTCCATCCACAAAAGGAGGCTGTGAGCAGCAGCCTGGTCCCGTTGATGTCTCCTGCAGCTTGGCTGCTCCCCTCAATGGGCCCCCGGTTCAGCCCTGTTTCCGCCCGGCAAAAAGCAGGTGTAACGCTTT